CCCTCTCTCTCTCTCTCTCTCTCTCTCTCTCTCTCTCTCTCTCTCTTTCCATCCTCGCCAACCCACCCGTCCCCTCTCATAGCACACGTTGAATGGAATCCTCGATCGGATCGGTGAACTTATGTGAGCTGGGACTTTACCTCGATTTCGGCTCGACGTGACAGGAAGATAGGCAGCGGGTTGTCGGATAAGGGAGAGGGAGCCGTAAACTGGGAGCGATGACGAAGAAGACGAGGAAGCGCAACGTCCCGCGCGTGGAAGGAACGCGTGCAGGATCCGCCGGGGGATGTGTCTGGGATTTAAACTCGCACTCCGACGCCGTCTCCTTCTCGGCTGCGAAATAAAAAGAGAACGTCTTTGGAATGCACCAGGTTGTATTTATAAGAATGTTATATTTTCTCGGTAGTAATGGGAGCCCCCGCGCGAAGGGGAGCGGTCGTAAATATATTAATAGAGCCCTAGTAAGTGATATTATATACAGATGGATAAAAAACGGGAAAGAATCGTCCCTCGTTCTCTCCGCCTACACGTGGGAGACGGTGTCCTTCGCTCGTCACTGTATCGCCTTCTATCGTCCGACTCTCTCTCTCTCTCTCTCTCTCTCCCTCTCTCTCTCTCTCTCACTCTCTCTCTCTCTCTCTCTTCCACTCTCCGCTATGTCACAGGATCTTTGTATTAACGCGATACGATAGTCGTCGGGTTCGATCCATTGTTGTTCGGTAATTTACAAGTACTCGATGTACAAACTAACTTCCCATTACACCTGCGTTCTCTCGGATTTCGCGCGCGTTGCTTAATCGGACGTTACGACGACGATTCTGCTTTCGGTGGAATCCGCATAAAAATTTCCCAAGATTTTCCCAGTCGTAGCATAAATTCTGCTTGCCCAAGTATATCCTAAAATGAGTTATATCTATTGGGAACTCCATTTTTATCCCAATCATAGTTCTTTGTCCAAAATCAAAACAGAAATACTTTGGAAACTCGCGTTTTTTTAATCGATATATTTTTAAAGTATCAAACAGAGAATCTCATTTTTATATCAACTACTGTATTCAATAAAATGAAATGTAAAAAAATAAGATATTTTTAAAACATTTTAAGCATTTTACTGAATAATGAAATTATTTGAAAAATCAACATGGTTCATTCAATTCTGACGTAAAAAAATAAAGACCAGAAAAAAACTGAGAAAACTTTGGGTTTCCTCGCTTAGAATCGCATGTTTGAGACATTACACTTGTATCCAAAACCCACAATTACTTCGGGAAACCAGGCTGAATCCCAAGAAATTTTCTATGCGAAAACGCGGCACCGTTTGCACCGACGATCATTCCATCCGGAACGGACGCGTCTTACCTCGCCATTCAGCGGCGAGATCCCTGACTAAAGCGGATCTTCAACCAGCGGCTGCTGCTTTTCGAGACTTTGTCCGCTTTGGGATTCATTGAGTAACCGTAATCGTTAACTCAGTCCGGCGCAGAACGATCAGTCGCAACACGGACGATTGACCCGTAATCGTATCTGCGAGATAATAAGGAGATCCGGCATTAGACAGATTCCACTTGTCTGCAATGGTGCGCATTGAGACTTGTTCAGAATACGCGGAGCAAGATTGGTATAGGTTGGAGTAAGAAATAAAAATAATTAATTATCACGTTTACGTAAAGAGGAATACTTCGGGTTCTCGAAGGGAGCTAGAATATGATAGATGTAAGCGATTACTTTTCATTCATGCTCCAACTTGCATCAAGCTTATTCCGCGTATTGCAGACGAGTCTTCATTCTTACTTTCAAGCGACATTGGTGCAACCGGCGTCCGACGGTCGTGAGCGAAAGAAAGCCCGGATACACGCGAGAACGAGACAGACCGGTACCTTCCGGCGTCGCGGGAAATTACTCACGGTAAGTAGCGTTAACTCGCGAGCTCACGATTAATAATGCTCGCGCGCGGCGACGAACGCGCGGCGCAAGAGCGTTTCCATACCTCGATTCCATACCTTCTCCCTCCTGTTTCGCACGATTACGAAGGATGTGTGTGCCGTTTGGCGTTTGGTATAGATAAGCGCCGCTCGTATTTTTGGCATTGAAGCGTTAAAGCTAAGTGACTAAGCCCCTCGCCGCTCTCCGGCGTCTCCGGCTCGCGACTTTGCATCGGTGGCGGATTAACGTACTCGAAGATCCCAGTCGAGAGAGTTGCTTTGAGACCTGCCAGATCTGTCTTTGTGTCTACACGGATGAAAAACTGTATGATTGGTCTATTCGCACCAAAATCTATTCGTACCAACCGACATGATTGGTACAAGCAGATTTGGGGAAAACCAGATAGCTTCGGGAGTAAAGCTCATGTGCTTCATCTTGAGAGAAACACGGTGAATATAACATTGCGAAAAAGTCTTTTAAATCTGGATACTCTTTTCCCTAAGTTTTGTTGAAATCGAAATAATATTAAAAAATAGAAAAAACTGATTCGTAGTGGCAAAACAAATTCGACTTTCTCGCTTTTGTCTTAAGTTTTCATTGTGAAAGAATAAAGTTAAGCGACAATGTTACTAGCCAGAGCGTTACCAGCTAGAATAAAGTTTCTTGCAAATGTATGATATACTCTAGTTGTGTGATAATAAAAGCACAATTTCCACTCATAAAGTTGCTGTAATCGAGTATATGGACGAATGAGATAAAGTTGGCCTATAATTAAAGGCCTGCAGGAGGGCTGTGGAGATCTCTCGCGGAGATCCCGGAACCATTAATCAGGATACATATTTTATATGCAATGTTTTTTACCCTCCATGGTACTGAACGATCCGGATCAAGATGCTTACGTCATTGCATATTCGTATTTTGATTATTATTATAAAAAACAAAACGATTGACATGATCGTGGCGAGCATTAGCATATAGAAGAAGGCTGTCGCTACCATGTTTGTGTAGTCAGTCACAAGAATCAATTGTCTGAGAAGTTGTAATTTAAAAATTATGAAATATGGGACATCTAGCCCCTGTGTGGGCCAACCATACTGCTTTTTCCGTGCACGACTGCGAAAGCTCATAATCATCGAACTCATGATGAACGTGAATTACTGTTATCCCCGACGATTCGTGAAACGTTGAAAAATGATAAAAATATTTTCCCGATTCGTACGATAATCCGCCGTTGCTCCTAGCTGTCGCGAACACACGCCGGATAGATACTTGCGAAAAGTAATTCGCCGTGACGCGCGTCGGGCTATCCAAAACTCAATCTGTCCGCGACGCTCGCTCCGAGGGGTTCTTAACCTAATGTCTTGAATTATCTCTTTGGTATCGACTGTCGCGGGCACGTCCCACTCTGACGCAAGAGGATCAGCGACCGCGCGACATAACGGAAATTTCACGAGACTAGAAGAACACGAAAGTTAAGTCCACCGCGTCGTTTCCGAATGCTGTGTGCGCGACGAGGGAAAAATCACTGGTTGCTGATTGGTAATTTGCATGACGCGCGCGCGAGTCCAAGTCGCGATCGCGCTCGACATTTCTCCAATCGCGAAATATAAAATAATCATCATCTTACTTTTCCTTCCCCTCCGGCAGCGCCCTCTCAGTCGGCTGTGAAACGAGAGATCGCAGGATTATGGCACGTGTTACAGAACCCCTCGTGTCCTCTTCGCTCTCGCTGAAAGTTCGTCTCTCTTTCTCTCTATATCTCTCTCTCTCTCTCTCTTTCTCTCGCAGTTCCCTTTCCTCTGAATCGGCGCTCCACGTCCTTACGGATGGACGACGGCGGTATCACGAGCGGGATAAGAGTCATTTTGGTGGGCCTGCGTATACTGGTAATTGTTTCATCCTCCCTCTCTCTTCCTCACTCGCGGAGTCGAATACGACATAGATTTATTTACAGGCGACTCCGCGCCACTCGCACACTCTCACACGCACGCACGCACGCACGCACTGCGAAAGCCGCATTCTCACCCTCCGTGTCTCGTCTCTCGCTAGAAATATATCTTACATAAATCATCTAATTTATCTTTACGTGTGTTGTGTGTCGTCGTATCTTACAAGATGCACATGTGCATCAGCCTCCGGACAGCACACGACGACCAGACGATGTTTGAGGAGTGTCTAGGATCTTACGATGTCGCTTGGACGTCTGTGCGTGCCCGAGTGCAGTGTACGTGTTGCGTATCTCTCTGTATGTGTGTGTGTGTGTGTGTGTGTGTGTGTACGTGGGTCTGTTTGCAAATACGGTGTATCGAGCGTGCTCTAGCCCGTACCTCGCGCGTGTTCTACAGTATTAACATATCCGCCATGAAATTTGTTCATTTTCCACGATCACAGTGATTCCGATCTCCAACATCAGCGAGCGTCACTTCATCCCCCGAGCCCGCGATTCGGACTTCGCTTCGCGTCTCCGATACTTGGCGCACACGTTCCGCGTACCGTCCAGCTTGCTTGTCGACCCCAGTCTATCACTCTTCGACCCCTCAACGACCCCTTTTTGTCCATCGCGTCGTCCTCAGCGGTGCAACGTATACTTCTTCCGTCCCCACTCCCTCTTCCCCCCCTTTGCTCCTCCCGTCCGTTCCTTGGAATATGCAATTATCTCCGCGGAGCGAGGAGCACTCCCGTCGGTCTTAGTAACCACTGAGACACCTGAGCTTCTTCAGAGGCGGCGAAGCCTCGTTTCAGCTGGTCGGCGCCTGCATCGACATCGGGGGCGGCTTCACGGGCCCGAGAGCGGGTCCGGACAGGCCGTTGTTGTTCATATCGCCCGGCGCCCTCGGTCCGCCGACTCCTATAGCCGTCCCGTTCACCGTCGGCGTGCCGCCCGACATTTGACCCTGAAGTCATAAAAGATTCGCAAAACGTGAGACGACACCCCCCCCCTCCCCCCCTCCCCGCGTCGCACACCTCGCGAATCTTAATTCTCGCGAACTTTCAATTACACGAAGGAGAGAAACCTGACAAGTGTCGCGCGCGCGGTTACCGAAAAAAATCACAACTGAGACGCAATTCTTTGGCAATAATCAGAGAGAAATAGGAAATGCTGGAAGAAATACGCTGCTTGGAAATTGATCAAATTTATCTGACATTATTATTCTAAACATTTCGCGGATTTGCTTCATCAACCAGACGCGCGTTCGCGTGATTCGTTGGCACTTACGTTGGGCACGTGATTGTGTTGAGCCACCGACTGCCCCAGACCTTGATGAGCTTGCAGCGGATTGTGTCCCGGGTGCATGTTCTGGCCCGGGGGCGTCGGTGTAGGGGGAAGTTGCCTTTTGATGTATGCTAATGAGGCGGGTGTCTGTAGCGCCATATTAGCGAAGGCTAGCCTCTCCTCATAGTCGTACTCGCAGAGAATCTTATTCTCGCACAAGTAAAACCGATCGCCCACGCAAAACCTGCAAGCAGAAAAGGCATCCTGTGTGTCGAAAGCGCAATGAGTACACGACGACTCGCGTTCGACGAGACGTTGTCCTACATATCTCTCTCTCTCTCTCTCTCTCTCTCTCTCTCTCTCTCTCTCTCTCTCTTTCTCGGATATACAATTATAATTCTCTGGTCAGTAATTCCGACGCACGAATGAGGACGTTCCTTGGACAAACAGAAAAGTGTAAAAACTATGCCTCTCTACATTGCACAATTAATAAAAACAGCTTCACACATTGATTACTAGTCGCGTGTGTGTGTGTGTGTGTGTGTGTGTGTGTGTGTGTGTCAGTAGTTCGCAATAAAATTTATTTGGCCCATCGCGCGCAAAAGGCTCAAAAAGATTCAAAGGAAATTAGTGGATTCGATTAACGGATGAAGCCTCACAATGATCACTATCAACATGACCAGAGCGATTTTTATTTGCACCTATCCTGTTCCTTTCAGTTTTTTATGCCGCTGAAAGTAAAAAAAAAACATTCCCTTATAACCTATATTAAGCATTAACTCAAATGAAAGATATCGTTGAGTAGGTTCAGAACACATATATTTTTATATATCTGTGGTTTATAGTTAACACGATAAAGAACGTCATGAATCAATTATTTATATGTATAATATGTAAATATATATCGATAGATCATTTTACATTACGCAAGGTACACGACGAGCAGATGAATCTACTTGACGATATCTTTCGTTTGAACTATTGCTTAATATAAACTATAAGTGAACGTTTCTTCTAATTTAGCCCTCTAGTGAACAAAGTAAGGGCCCATACAGATGAATGAATCTTGCCAAGTTTTTCCTTATGAAACACTGGAAGAGAATAGAGTAGATGCGAGTAGTCGCTCCTGGTCACACCATTGTAGCCATTGTCAGTTTAGGACCTCGCGAGGAGCCAAACCTCCGTTGCTCCAAAAATTCGATCAATCGCGAGGGCGGAGGAGAAAACGAAGAGAGAGTCGACAGAAATTCGAAAGAGGAGTTCCGCTAGATAACGAGCATATCGTAATACGCATCGAGCAAATAATTATTATCGGGGCCTCTGTCCGCATGCGGCCTCGTATTCGCTTTGATCCCGGGCTAGGAAATACGAGAGCGAAATACGAGAGCGCGGCGCGGCGCGGCGTCGCGCCGCGTCGGGGATCGCTCGGGTCGAGTCTGGCTCGGGGTAGATACTCTCATAATCGCACGGCAAATAGAATTATCGCGTTGCTGCGCGTGGCCGTGCTGGCAGCAAGCGCGCGGCTTATACCGGGTTTCGCTCGTTTCCCCTATTATACGCGTCGTCTGCTAAATGACGCCACACTCCAATCGGATACCTACCCCCCTCCTTCTCTCTCTCTCTCTCTCTCTCTCTTTCTCTCTCCTCCATCCTTCAGCTTTCCTCCGCAGCCCACTACCCCGGCGGCAGCGGCTCGCCTTGCCACTCGACATGTCCGACACAATCGTTCCGCTAGATTTTTAATCCGCACGCGAATAATTTAATTGCCCCGCGCAAATTAGCGCCGTGATCGATACACATGCATACACACGACAGGAGTACGGCTGTTTTTGGTCTCTCCCCCGATCTCTTTCTCACTCTCTCTCGATACACAGCTGACACACATCGGCGAATGCGTGTGCAACCCCTGGTGTTCTGATTTCAATGAGTGAAAACGACTGTAACAAGCAGCAAAGTGCCCACAGTGAGGAGAGGAATAGTGCAAACGTGCGCCAATCAAACGCGTATTAATTAAAATATAATGACCGTCGTTACCGGATAATTGATACCCTTACGGGCTTTTTGCCTTGTGCCCGGCGAGCGATACAATCGCGACGGAGGTGTATTTGTATTTCGCCATTAGTCATTTCCCATTAATCCTCAGGGCGATTCGAGCGGCACGCGGGAGGCTGGCGGGAGGCGTGAAAAAAAAATTAATATCCGGCGGGCTCGCGGACGGCAGTGCTGGACGGCTTAAACGAAAATAATCCTTGTAACGCTTTGGATACCTTTTTCGGCCGTCTGGCTAGAGGCAGATACTGTCGTAATTGCGCGGGCAATAGAATTATCGCGTTGCACGAGAGCGCAGTCATTCCGGACCTTCCATTATGCGCGTGCGAATAATGCCGCGCAAAGCCCGATCCTTTCTCGCGAAAACGGCGCAAATACGGTCTGCCGTGGAACGATATCGAGGGGCGCGCGCGGGCGCGGATGCACAAACGCTAGCCCATAATTTTCCACCTGGACCCCCTCCCCCCTCCCCGGCATTTTTGCACGGACGAGTGATACGTCGCGCAACCCACCTCGAAATCGCCGTCCAAGGAGAAAGACGTCGAGCGCACGAATATTCTATTTAGATCGATCAAACGGGGGGTTAGTTGGACGGATAGCCTTGGTCAAGTATTAAAACTGATCCACGTAACACCGGGGATAGCGCACTGACTACAACTGGCTATCGCGTACGTTTATAGGATATACTGGGTGACCGACAATTATTCACACATCCGTTGTGAGCAGAACTCATAAAACTGAACACAAAATTCTCCTATTATTTCACAAACAACCATGTAAGATTTTGAGTTATTAATAATAAAAAGATTAGCGAATGATCATGCACGATAGACGCAGGGTAGATGGCTGCTTGATTGTCCGCAATTAAATGCACCAGTCTTTTTTTAATTGATAACCAAAAATCTACGTGATCATTCGCAAAATTCGGTAAAGATCTTTCTTTTTCAATTTCACTTAATCCGCAAACACACGACAGCAGACGTCGCCTTTCATCCACCGTGATCGCGCACGATTACATTCATCAATCTTTTTCAATTAATAACTGAAAATTTTACGTCGTTGTCTGTGAAACAGTAGAGAAATTTTGTGTTCAGTTTGACGAATTCTACCTGTATACAACAGATGTGTCAGTAATTATCAAACACCCTGTATAGTGAGAGGGAGCAAGGGAGAAAATAAAAGAAAAATTAAGGTTAAAGCACCAATACCCAGGCTAATTGCACTGATAGCTATCTTTGGGCATTTTTATTGTTTCGGTATTTTTCATCTTTTAACATAGAGAATATATACAGGGTGTTGAAAAACAACATAGCACAAATTTATCTACGTATTCCTCAGACAATTCTAAGAACAAAAGTTTATATAAACATGTGTCCGAAACGGCTTAGTTTTTGAGATAGAGGGCTTCGAAAATTGCAATTTTTAATAATATAATAATAATAAATAATATATAATATATAATAATAATAAATTGTCTTTAAAATATTAAAATCTGGTATTCAAACAGAATTTTTTTTCTTTTTACAAAGATAGGGTTAAAACTATCCCACGCTTTTCTTATTATCCTTATTTCTAGTTTTTATTCAAAAACTTTTTTAGCATTTTCAGAAAGAGTTTAGCACAGACATGTGCCAAATTTCATTTAATTATTGTCATTAGTTTCCAAGTTATTATTGTTACAAAAAAAATTGCAATTTTCAAAGCCCTCTCTCTCAAAAACTAAGCCGTTTCGGTCATATGTTTATATGAACTTTTGTTCTTAGAATTGTCTGAGGAACACGTAGAAAAATTCGTGCCATGTTGTTTTTCAACATCCTGTATACATATGTTGTATATGCACATATATTTTGTTGTTTTGAAAGTTTAAATATCCGTGTTTAAAGGCCAAAAGCCGTGTTTAAAGGCCAAACAATAAGAATATCCATGAATAGGCACGTGTCCGAGAATTAGTACTTTTGTTTCTCGGCAATAAGCTGGGAATCATACATCGGCGCGTGTGACGGCGTCTCCGCGTTTTTCTACCTTCATCGAGACACCTTTTATTCACCGTCGTGAACAAAATATTAAGAATACGTCGGAAGTCTTTCCTACCAAAGTATTAATTTCCATCGTAGCGCGCAGCATGTCGCGCAACACTCGTCTCTCGCCAACGCGCACGAAGTCATAAACGTTTAAAATTTGATTTATCTCTTGTTCTATGCGTTCATCGCAATGAGAGCAAATTCGCCGCCGCCGCCGCCGCCGCCGCCGCCGTGCGAACGCTTTATTACAGCGCGAGCGCACCTAGCACGCCCCACCTCTACGTAATTGGCGCAATTCCGTAAGTGTTTCCATTCAATTTTCTTTTTATTACGTGCCTGCCAGAGCCACCCTCCGCCCGCCCGCCCGCTCGCTCGCTCCCTCTCGCCCGTCCGCCCACATGCCGCGTCGCACGCACACCCCCGACGTCGCGGGATACATCACGTTGTTTACGGTCGTTTTGACACGTTTCACGGCACCCGGGAGCCCGCGACGCGTTGCAATTTCTTCGCTCCGTTCGAACGCGAGGGTGAGACCGCGAGCGGCAGCTGCCCCCGCCGTGGCCGCGTGTGTTCGCCCCGGTCGGACGGGATCCATACGGCGTCTAACCGCGCGTTCATCCGCCTCGTCCATTAGAGAGACGTATCTACTCCCGCTGAATTTCGGCGCGATAAGATTTCCGATGGGAATTACTCGAACACGAAGCGCCGCGTCACGGCCGCTTCGATTGCGGCGACCTTAAATCGATCACCCCCTCCGCCCCGCTCGCGGCTGCGGGGGCGTCGGGACGCCTGAGAAACATCCACTGACCGGGGTTAGTGAACCATCGACGTGGAAGATAGTTCGTGGGAGGGTGGATGAAGTCGCGCGCGAGAGAACGACTCTACGGTCTGCATGGAAAATTTCAATCTGGGTGGCGCTCAGATAACTCGGTTGAATCTTTAACGAGGGTAGCCCCGGCTTCGCCAGCAGCCAGAGGAGAGCCGCAGGACAATGGGGCGGGCGGGCGGGCCAGGGGGGATGGATGGTAGGAGGACGATACCGACACGAGGAGAAACGGATAGTGGGCGGGTGGGCGAGTGCGGCGACGACGACGACGACGTTCGATCGGCGCGACGACGACGACTACTATGAGGTGCAAAGGCGGAAAGTAGCCGCTGCGATTCAATAAATGATACCACTGGTGGCAATGCGTGACCCCGTTAGAGGCACTTTACGGGCCGCTCCGTCGACGTGGCCATAGTCCTCAAAGAGTAATACCGTCTCTGCACGAGCTTCGGCGCATCAAAGTTTCAGCGATCTCGTCGTGCGCGTCTCGGACCCCTGACACGGACAGTATGTGTGTGTGTGTGTGTGTGTGTGTGTGTGTGTGTGTGTGTGTGTGTATCGTACCTGTGTGTATGTATATGTACGCCAGTTTCTCAGATAAAATCTTTATTCGACGCACCGCGGTGTGAATCGCGGAAATTGCGGAATTGCCGAGCGACGGGGCGGCACGTTCGAGAGAGCGGGCACACGTGAGAGCGAACGTGATGTATCCTCAGCGGGACGACGATAGAAAGCTGGGAGAAAAAAAGAGGAAACAAGCGCGTGTAATATCGCGCAATAATACGCGATGAAAATCACGTTCTCGTAATACGATCTCGAGGCGGCGGCGCGTAGCGATCGCCCGCGAATGAGAAATTTCACGTTGATCGCAATTTCGCCGGGGGAGCCTCGCTCCGCCGACGGGATATCGAATCCAAGTCGCAGGGGCGAAAGTTTAATCGAGTAGTCATTATGTTTGACCGGATTCGACGGAAGCAAAGAAATCGGAGGGGAAAAGCAGATACGCGATGCGGCGCTTGCGCGCACACTGTGGAGCGTGTGTGTTTGTGTGCATCGGGGGTGCAAGAGAAAGAGAGAGAGAGAGAGAGAGAGAGAATGAGGGAAAAGGGAAGACAAGAGAACGAAAGAGAGAACGCGAGAGAAAGAGAGAGAGAGGAGGACGGGAGGGAGAGAGAGAGAGAGAGAGAGAAAGAGCTAATTGCATCGGTAAATCATCCTCTAACCAGGAGGGTGGGTGCCTAGTCGCCGCCACTGGCAACCCTTTATTCTGTGTTATTACAGTCTAAAGTTACCCCGTGTAATTGTTGCTGTTTAATTGCAAACTCTAAGTCGTCTCGTTACAGGACGCGCAGCGCTGCGAGTAATTGGCCTCTTCAAATTTACCTACCTGCTTTTTAGCGCGGCGCGATCGCACGTGCGCGCGCGAGCACGCGAGGGGTCGCACCGAATATATTCCGCATCAGGCATATTTCATCGCGCGCTTTAATTGCGCCCGTATATCGTACCTGACACGCAACGCGATTGTTACAACAAATAAAACGGCTGAATAATGCAGCTGTCCCAATTTACTCTTTCCCGATTCGCGCGCGCGCGTCCGCGGTGCCGTTGCGGACCCTCGCACAGCGCGCTCCTCGCGCGCGCGTCTTCGTGTTGTCAACACGCCTTGGTCCTTTCGGCCGATCGCGTCTCCTTCTCCCCAGGTTCGGATACAGTTTTGACGCTGACGCGCGACTCGCCCACTTTCCACGCGTCTAACCCAATCCGCGCACCCCTCACTCGGGACGGTCTCGCCACGAGTGGCGCGAGCGAGCAAGCGGAGGCATTGTCGAAGATAGACAATGCCGGACGATAAAAACGTAAAATTGATGCTCTTTTGTTCACATTGTTTGAGACGCTGTGCAACGTTTGCCGCACGCCTGGACGAGCCATTGCTATTGGCTTGGAACTACATCCTCCACCTCCGGCTTCTCTATCGTACCCCTCGCGCCACCGCCGCTGCCGCCGCCGCCACTATACCACCCCTGTGTGCCTGTCCGCCATTCTCCGTCGATAGAGCAACCGAATCCCTCTCTGCTATCTGCTCTCTCTCCTGGACGTTGTTACCTCCCCCGCGAAAAAACGAGTCACTTCGTCCGTAAGCCAGCATTGTACCGCTTCGCTGGCTTTGTGCTCTCGTTTGTACGGTTTTCCGCCATTGAATCGCGACAGAGGCCTGGCCGCGCCTCGTCGCTGCCACATATTGTTTACACGTACCACACCACGGCCCGTAGGATAATTAAAACGACCGAAGAAAAGAATAACGGATGATAACGCGCCGCTCCGATCGATGGAAATGCCGCAACGGTTGATCCCGCGTCGACGGCGTCCGTGGTTTCAAGTGCGACAGAGTAAAGCCCGCGATATATTGAAAGTCGAGAGAGAAAGAGAAAGAGAGACAGAAAGAGGAGGGGGGAAGAAATATCACCGATATCCCGATCGCGAAGATAATCTCGATCGAGCGCGAAAAAGTCAGCGATACTCGGATATTACGTAACTGGTCTTGAAAGACGGAATGGATCGAATGAAGATGAGATACAGGATAAGAGGAAAAGAGAGAGAGAGAGAGAGAGAGAGAGAGGTGAGAAAGGCGTTCATCGTCAGCCTGAGGCAACTCCTCTAAGGACATCACCGAGAAAGTTAGAAAACTTATGCACTTATATTACGCGATACATATAAGAAACTCATACATATATAAAAAGATATATATATGTAAGATAAAAGTCGGAGACTATTAAAATTGGAATCTAGGTTAGATTAGGTTATTCCAGAATCTCTTCAGCGCGTAATAACTCATTGACCACGACAGTCAAGACTACAGTTCTGAAATCCAGCTTTAGGACAGAGAGAGGAATGTACGATAATAATAGTAAGGACAGACGCGAAGGATAAATCGATCAGGAGGCATCGCGCATTCGGTCGAACGGTGGGAGTCGAGGCCGTGAATGTACGCGAGGACGTGCCGCGGGGTTTCACGATGAAGTTGATTCGACCGCTGCCGGGTCGGAGAATGGCAGCGCGAGCGAAAGAAGAGGTCACGGCGAAGAAAGTGCAGGGTGATTTCCCAGCTGACCTGTAAACCAACCTCCCCTAGTGGGCTCTGCCTCATGGACCAGTGTAGTCGCATCCCCGTGGCCGTTCCTCGCTCCTTCCTTGTGTCCACACGGGGAAGATGCATCGTTCGCGAAAACCGTGAGCCGCGGGAAGAAGCAGGAAAAAAGAAAGGAAGAAAGCAAGAGGTAAAAAGAGAAGGAGAGAGAGAGAGAGAGAGAGAGCGGACGACGTAAATTTACCGATTTGAATTCTGCATAATCGCTATCCTTGATTTCACATGGTGCACGGTGGTCTTTGATAATTGGCTACCCCCAACGTAATGTTACCTCCAGATCGTATCCTACTAAATTTCGTAAAAATCGCGAGTTTCTAAGGATTTCGCTCGCAATTCGCGTAGTCTGAAAATGGAAGCCTTGTCCTCTTCGAGCGGGCCTCTTTACGCTTTCGATATTGGCATTGGATAATAAGACAAGATGTGACATCTCACGCCTTGAATACAGGTAGAATTGAGCGAGAAGTCCGCTCGAGGAGGTTCAGTAATGAGAGAATTTCCGGCGTTTATCGTACTCACCGATGAGTGCATTGTTGACAGGCGAAGCAGTCGAGATGATAGACATTCGTCCTGGCCCTCATGACCATCTCGAACGCCGGTATTTGTTTGTTACATGCCGCGCAGCATCCTGTGTTGCCGAAGAGCCTGAGGTAGTCCCTCTTACAGAGGATAAGGTTAGCTTTGGTGTAGAGGGTAGAGCCGACCTCTCCTAACCTACAGTCGCAGCATCCGCACTTGAGGCAGTCCTCGTGCCAGTAGAGGTCCAAGGCCTTGAGGAGGTACCTGAAGAACCGACCGCAGTTTTCCTTCTTACCGGCCGTTAAACCTCGCAAGTTTCTCTTTTATCTCGATATCTGATATATGTATATTTCTCGGGATCAAATGATCGGTCCCCGCTTCCCGGTCAACAGGGAGAGCGGGGAAACCCATCGCGGGGGAGGGGGAGGGGGAGGACGACGACGACGAAAGATCGACGTTCGCGTCGAGCCGGCTTTCTTTTGGAATTCTAACGAAGCATCGATATCGCGAGGGGATTATTAGCAAAGTATGAAGTACGACGAGATCAGCGATGGGGATCATTTCTTTTCTGCTTCCTTTACTTGTTCAAGGAGATGCAAACTGTACAGAAAACGCCGACGCGCTTACCTCTCCGTAATTGTCTTTCCGCAGCCGGCGCACTCCTGCTGCGTCGAGCCATTTTTATTCGTCTCGGATTTGCTCACGTCCATAGTCATCGTGATCTTGGCTACGGCGCCGTCTGGAACATTAAGAGCAAATCGAACGGTCACAACGGTGCTGCCGTATGTCGTCGTTTAGGGGAACACTTAAAGCGCCGACGGGAGAGCGAGATTAACCTGTAATTTCTTCTTCATTTTTTTCTATCCCGATATCTCGCGCGCCCTACATTGAGAGAAAACAATCCAACTGAAGTTAATTCATCCAACTGAAGTTAATTATTCAAAACCTCCCGATTGTTATTATCACTGTAACACATTGTGGCATAATTTAACTTGAAAAAATGGACTTTTTCCGACAACAATTGATAGTAATTATCTCTCCATGCGATTATAGCTACAAGCGATCATAGTCACAAGTGCCAAACATTTTTTTTGCTCAGTGTAGACGCGATCGAAAATAAACGCGCCGACATTTTTACCGCTGGGCGGCGCAATAATCCGTCACAGATACGGTGCGATATAAAATTTTCGGCGAGTCGACAGCTCGGGAGCGTGAGTGCGCGCGTGAGCGATGAGAGAATTATACGGCCGGGTCATTTCGGCGGCCAAAATTTGATTTCCCGAGTTAATGAGAACTTATCGTACTCGCTCGGGGATTCGGCGCGCTCACGTATCCGCTCGTGTTTATAAGGGGGCAACTTCTGGGACGGCTAGCGTGCCATGCACGCGTATCCCGCAGTTATAAGCGTCTCCGACGTCGTAAGTGGCTGACAGCACGCAATAATTAGCGCAGCTAATTGGAACCGTTCCTGCATCCTCGTACAGCCAGACTCCAATAAGCAGCGACGCACTGCGCCATGGGTGCCGTTTGGATCTTTCCTGAGTGTGGCGGTGTAACGTTTCTTTGTGTATTTTTTCTTCCTTTTTTCAACTACGCCGCCATCCGAAGCAGCGTCTCTTAACCGCTCTGCCGCAAGCGCACCCGTCGGGCGCAATGAATGAATGACAATTGAGACTCTCAAGAATCACAGAACCACACTTAGAAAGAAACCCTTGGCATTTGTAACGATTATATACCTATAATCACATAGAGAAATAATTACTACAACTTACGGCCGCGAAAGTTTTTATTAAATTCTACTATAATGTTGATGATAATAATCTTATGTGCATATCACTGCTATCCTTTTGCTACAGAAAATATGATTGGAAAGATGGTTATAATTTTGGCCAGATCAACTACTTTTTTCTCTCTTGGTGCAGATTACTTTCAATTTTTGTTGAGCGGATGGCACACACAGAAGAACGTAAGCAGAGAGCGGTAAAAAGATTGACCAACCGTAATCGATTATTCCTGAACCGTAGGAAGAGAAGCGGCGAGACCGTACCTGGTCAATTTGCTCGCTGCTCACGCTTTACTGCGTGCTTTACTTTCAATCGTGAGAATCGCGGACTTTCGCCGAGCGCGGTGCTATCGCGACCCATCAGGGCGCGAGTGAAGAATACATTCGACCGGAGCCATCGAGAGGCCACGCGCGTTGAGGGACGAAAACGGCGTTCGCGATCGCGAGGACGCGGTGTTACGTTCCTCTGATGCGTAATACTTCGCGGGCTAAAGTGGAGTGAGGGTAGTGCGGTGGCGGAGGTGGCGGTGACGGTGGCAGTGGCGGCAGAAGGGGTGAGCGAAGTGGGCCGCTGCCGCGTTCCGTTCGAAACGACGACGAGCGGGCGGACGCGCGGCGGGGGCTTAATTAATTAGCCGGATACTTTGAGTAACAATCCATTATTACATACAAACATCCTCGGCCTCGGGGCCGAGCTGCAGCTTTATGCTGCTAATTGGCCTTCTCAAAGCCGGGAGAGACCCGGGCACGAGTTATAAACGCTACTCCTTCCCTCCCTCCCGCCCTCCCTGGCCCACGCCGGCCCGCAGCCACCGCGCACCCCTCTTCGCCGCCCCGGTTACAATTTTCTCTCTCGCTACCGCCCGCCACCTACCCCTTTTCTCTCTGTCTCACCTCTCCTTCTCTATCTCTCTATCTCGGTATCTCGCTCGAAAACCTTTCGCTCCTACCTCCTCTCTCTCTCTCTCTCTCTCTCTCTCTCTCTCTCTCTCTCTCTCTCTCTCT